TCAGTGTATCAGGGAATAGTTACTATGCAGAATTATATGAAAACAACAAAAAAATTCCCAACTGAGAAAAGTGAAAAATGTTAGAGTTATGATTTTGATTGGTGCATTTATTTAGAGAATTTCAAGTTTTAATAAATTCTATCTGCACCCATATAATGATTTTAAGCATTACAACAGAAACCTTACAATGGAAACTATATATGATACATTTTAAGGAATTTGAAGCGGAAATGAATGGGTTAAACAAACTTACTTAATTTATGAAATTGCGTCTTATTACTATCAATGATTATATTAGAAACATGAAAAATGTAAATGTATTGAAGAAAAAAGCATAGTGCTGTTTATAAATTTTCGGCAGGGAAATCGGCATGTTACAGTATTTTAAGTGGTGATGTCACAGCGTTGGTCGGTTCTGTAGTTAGTATTTGAATACATTGGTAATACCTTTCACATTTGTAATATAATCATGGATTATAGTAAGACACAATGTTGTAAAGATTGACCATTTTATTTCCACTTTAAGAACTCCTCTTCCAGAAAGGAAGCTGCCAGTTCTTGCTTTGTGGAAGCATCCCATCTTTTTTTCCCATCCCATTAAAAGCATCCTGAGGTTTTTCCATGCAATAGGTTTTAGTAGAGGAAAGCTAACCACCGTAGAGGACAGCTGCGTCACCCTCTGTGATTCCCTTCATGTAGTGGAAGTTCACAGTGGCATGGAGCAAATAAACTCTGGGTCAGATATTTGCGTCGACCCCCCAGGCTGTTATTTCCACTGACTAGCCGGGAATGGCTGGGAATACATTGCAAACACTTAGGTGGATATGAAAGACATACAAGACGGGTCAGGGAAAACTGTTTTATAAAGCAGATCTCTTCCACACACTTTAAACTCCTCTTGCAGCATAAAAACAAATTACAAACTAACATGCCAAAGTAAGTATGTAACCATATGACAGAAGATTAGTCCAACACACCCAAACTGCTTGCTTGATTCGATCTTTCTGTTTTATCACGTTGCATCCACAACTAAATATCTTCCAATGGGATCTTATGCGATGAACCAACTTAAAATAGGGCACATTATCTAGTGGAAACAAAAAAATTTATAATTAACAGTTTTATATTCCTAAATAAGTTTCTAAAACGTGTAGCAGACATATTTTTTCTAATCTTGGTATAAATGCAGCTGTTTTACTAAGACTTCTGAAGTCTGTTAGGGAACAATTAGTTAAACAAACATCATCATGAAGACCAAGGGACACAGCAGACATGTCAGCGGTTAGTTAGGAAAAAGGTTCAAGTCAGGTTTAGGTAGTAAAACAAAATCCTAAGCTTGGAACATCCCAGAGTTCCACCATCCAACAAAGAAAATGTGAGACTCACTTTACACAGGCTGTGTTTTTGAAAGCAAATGCTTTTCCCTGAATCTAATAATCCTACTGTTAATTATCCACAGGGACAGGTAGGCTTATCAGGTTAGAAGGATAAATGGACTTAAACGTACCGCAAAAACAATCTAGAAATTAGTAAAAATTTCTTAAAATAAATGTATTTACCCTCAATTTGAGTAGGTAAATAAAATACTGTAGTTCGCCAATGGATTGTGATTTTTCACTTTTAAAAACAGATAATTTGATGATATGCACTTGAAATAAAACAATTCAATAGTTTTTTTCTTATTTCAAATGTAAATTGTCTTATTTCGTTTACAAAATGTCTCACTTACCCGCTCTATTCAAGGAAAAAATGCACTTAGTTTAAGAAAAAAAAACTTTTTCATATTTATTTTTTTTTTGCAGTGTGTAGGGTCATCCTGTGATAAAACGTGTTGGGGCTTGCAAAAGATATAGCTCCAGGTACAGCGTTTTATATTGCAGTGGGATCCCGAATATACAGCCGGAGCAACAGTAAAGATCTTTAAAACAAAGCATGTTTATGTGTCATCATGGATGAATACTGACAATTGGCCTTAATAACAGAATTTCCCTGAAGGAGTAATCTCAAGGGATAAAAAAAAAAGTTGAGTCTAAGTCTAATACATGATGCTCTTTAAAGATTTTAATTTAAAGAAGTTAAAGCTATACATAGTTCTGCATCCCATTCATAATAATTCTAGAAAGTTTTGGCCTATTACATAGTATGTGGCACTGCTGTCAGAGAAATCTGTAAAACTGCAATTCATAAGGATGCTTCTGTGAAGCACTGTATAGAAGTCAAAGACATACAGAATAAATTCCATGTAGCGGTTTATAGACAACAGCATGTGCCTATTATTAGATCCTTCTGGGACAAAGAGTCCAAACTTTGCACCTTTCTTCAGATGTCCTTCCAGATGTTTGGATCCATTTGACTTACTGCATGTGGCTTTCAGCTGCTGAGGCACTATTCCAGTTCATCATACTCTGATGTGCTGATGGAGTTCATCGCAAGTGTGTGTAATGCTTGCAAGCTATGTAATAAAAAAAAAATGTTTACTCAGTGAACTTTTTTATACTCTATGTTGAAAACTATACAAGTAGCCATTAATAAAACAGAAAGGAGAACAAATTAAACCGCAAAGCAGAACTGTGAAGAGTGCATATTTTGTGTCAATCCTCACTACGCTGTGCCACACACAATGCTGACCACAAGCATTCTGTTACTTTGCGTACAGTTTGGTCTAAGTATCCATGTATACCGCACAGAGGTATTCCCTGTGTGGCCTAACCACATGGTGAAGGTTTGAAGCACCAAAGTAGAGCTCACCTCCCAACAGTCTGCAGGCCACAGGTAGTAAATGGTTTGCACCATGTGACCTGTTGAAGTCTAACAGCTGTTTTATACCTTAAACTTGAAGTATGACAAAATATTTCCACCTCCTGCAGCAAACAGAAGTCGTCTGAAAATAGAACAAAGCTTAAAGTTTTGGCAGCCTCTGTTGCTGCCACAACGTCTCTCTACAGACCCAGCTAAGATGCCTGTTACGGGGCCCATGTGTTAGCATGCCATCATCTACCCATGATGGCTCCAAAACAGAACCTGCCTTGTCCCAATATGATCCCCAAACTTCACACCATGACATTTTCTTCCTTGTTTGTCCGACAGTCTGCAAAAAATCCAGCTCACCAGTACTCTAAGCACAAAATGAAAAATACAGAGAAAGCTAAAGAAACCTTCTCTTTTAAGCAAAAAGTATGAGTCAAACATTGTCTGGTTCATAGGATTTCCCCCAGTGTGATTCAGTTACTGGCAGAATGGAATAAGTGATCCTACTTATCCAATAGTTTCTTGAAGCTAAGAACCTAGGCATTAAACAAGTTGTAATTTCTTCATGACAGAAAAGTGATGATTGTGTATTTATGTACAGTATATTTGCTTAAAACTTCAGGAAATACTGTTTACTATTTTGACTTTGATTATTCTTAATATCGAAGATATTAGTGCATTGTTTCATGGTTCTTACTGTAGTTTAAAAATGATGTAACATTTTGCACATTAGTTTTTCAAACACTAATTACAACTGAGGACATCTCAAATGCATTCTATGTTAGGGCTGTGGGTTCCTGACTGGAGTGGCCATGATGGAAAAAAATGTTATGAGTCCCATTTGGGTATTTTCAAACCCAGTCCTTATGGGTCATATGTTGGTGAGGTCCAGATGGTGGGCCTACAGAAGCACGTGCGCTTGGGAGGCATAAAAAAATAGCACCATTATGTGTTTTTGGAGTTTTGTTTTTATATGTTTGTTTTTTCCACCATTTTTTTATGCACTTAGTTACTTTCTCTCTTCCCTTCTCCTTCATGTATGTCAAGTAGTATCACATCCTCTTCATCTACAATAGAAGCATTATTTAGGACTGTGGCAATGAGATGCAAAATGATAAGGACTTTGCACGTCATCAAATTAAATACCTGAATTCATTTTATGAATTTTTGATTTGGTAATAATAACAATAAATATGTTATGTGAAGCATAATTTTGAATCTATGCAATTTAAGGTGGACAAAAATTAAGAAAAGTTTCTTTACTAAGAACAGTTTCTTTACTCCAGCCTGCATACATATTTTCCTTTTCCATCATCCTAACTCCTTCATGTTTACTCCAACGGCACACTAACACTCCTTTAAGCAGATGTGCCGACAAAGATGTAATTTCCAGCCATGACAGAGGTTTCCACTGTATAGCTGTTTAAGGAAACAGGAACAATTCTGCAGGGTATAAGATGATTTTCCACTGTGATCTCCCATGTGGGAGAGGTCAAAGGTTCTGAAGCAAGGAAACTGGCAGGGTGCATGCAATGAAATAAAAACAATTTTTCAAAGAGGGGGAAACTTTAAAAAAAAATGCATTTTTTTGCATCATTGATTTCTTCTCTTATGCTTTTTTATCACATCTTAAAAGCATTCAGATGAATACACATGAACATGTTTTCAGCAAATAATCCAATTATCCAAAACAAACTGGCACTATGCTTAAATATTATTGAAGCTTGTTGTAAATGATTCATTTTTAGTGATTAGCCCTTTTTTTTTTTTTGTTTAAACAGCCAAACCACAGCTCTATAAGCATCAGACCTGCAGAATCCATGCATAACATAACCTGCCCGGGAACATTAAAGTATAAAATATCTTGAAAAGAAATGTATCATGTCACAATCTAAAAAAGAAAAAGAGAGCATGGTAAGGGTTACTTAATGGAACAACAGTTTGGCTTACAAAACAACAACAAAAATGAATCAAAGTCTTGATTCATATGTTTATGAAGCTTTGATTTTACTAAACCATTGCCTGGAAACTCTCCAATCTGTCTAAATAAAAGCCTTTATTAGCGTTACAGTGAAATTACACAAACACACAGGATCAGGTTCATTTGGCCAGCTCCCGACTATTAATACATTATTTTACATGTTAGAAACCTCTTCTACTGATTATAACATTTTCAGAGTCTCACAACAAACCGTTACTTTCACCTCAATCTAAATCTGTGCGATCCTTTCAGCATTCCTTTCTCTCTGTCGTCATGGTAGCAGCAGGACAGCTCTGCTATATAAGGTCCTCCTCTTCTGCGTCCTGAGCCACAGCGACAAAGGGTGTTTAAACCTCTGCTTTACTTGTAGAAGGAACGAAGATCAAACCCTGAGCCATCGGACTTGGTAGACTTTTTACCCTGCGTTTTTTTTCTTATTTGCTCTTCTCTGGAAGATGGAGAATCTCTCAGCTAAAGCTGTTTTATTTTTCTTAATGACTGCACAGGTCAGAACAAAAATTACTTTTAAAGTTAAACCTAATTTAGTCTAACTTATATTTAAGTAAAATAACTGCTTTTGTTAGCTTCCTGTTATTTGCAACCTATGATTTACAAGCTATCTAGAAAATGATAGCTCCATTAATCTATGTTCTGAGTTTCTAAATAAAGTATGTAAAGTTTATTAATTAATTAGTCACTCAGTCCCACTATGGCTTGATTATCCAGTTTGATTTTGAAACCAAACTAAATCATTCTACCTTCCAATCAGAGCTTTGCACCGACCTGGGCTCAGGTATGTCCTCGGAGATGCCACTGTCCAGAGGAGGTCCCTATGTGCCTCCCAGGGGTGTCCCTGGTGCTGGATGACTGTGCCTGCTGTCTAGTTTGTGCAGGTCAAAAGGGCCAAGCCTGCTCTGAGATGAAACCCTGCGACACTCGTAAAGGACTACAGTGTGATTACTCCGTAGATGTTCACAAGAGGACTGGTATCTGTGCAGGTAAAGTCCTTGCAAACAATAGCCATTAGATATGCTATTCAATTGTTGTTTGTTTGTAAATCCATCACACATGCTCTCTCTGTTTTGTATCTTTCATCCAGTCAGTGTGGGTAATGTTTGTGTCCTGGATGGTTTAGCCTATCAGCATGGCCAGATATTCTTCCCCAGCTGTAAATACCAGTGTGTGTGCCAGAATGGTCAGATAGCCTGTATCCCTCGCTGCAGCCTGGATGTCATGCTTCCTGGGCCTGACTGCCCAATGCCACGAAAGGTCCAGGTGCCTGGAGAATGCTGCGAGAAATGGGTGTGTGAACCCCAGACTAAAACCAGCGCACTGGGTGGCTTTGCCATGGCTGGTAAGTAAGTGCAGTACATTCAGATCTGAGATGTTATGTATGCCACAGAACAAAGAAGAAGATAAAAATAGTGGAAACAGTAAAGAAACAATAGGAATAATGGGAAGTTAATATTTTTGCAATGATAGAAGTAAATTTACAAGGTAGATCCACAACAATACAATCAAGCATCCCTTCGTCTAAGAAAGTAGGCCAGTTTAGCACAATCTAACATTTTGTTTTTCTGTGATCCCTCAGCCTACCGTCAAGAAGAAGTTCGCAGCTTTGACGGCTGGGACCCAAGAATGAACTGCATCGAACAAACCACAGAGTGGGGGGCCTGCTCTAAAACATGTGGTATGGGGGTGTCCACCAGGGTTACAAACAAGAATGATCGCTGTGAGATGGTGAAACAGAGTCGGCTCTGTATGATCAGACCCTGTGAGGACCCGCAAGGGCAGGCCACTCATGTTTCACTAACGGTAAGCTTAATTTAGTAATTTCTTTATTTGGCATGTAATCCCTGATATTTCAGAGAAATATATACTATGCAATAGAGCCTGTAATGGCAAGGAGGGCCAATTTTTAAATTTAGCGTTTAACAATTTAAGAATACAATGTAACTAATCCAAAAATGTAGATAGTGTAGCCTTCACCATCTATCCCTATTCTAACCTCAGTGCAATACTTCTGTAAAGCCAAAAGAGTCCCTGATTTTATCTTGCTTTATGTTCATACATACATACCGTATATATGTGTGTATGGGTGAAACTGACATTGGATGCAGGAAGAACTCAATCATTTGTAACATGGTGACTGAAACATGAGGATATTACTTATCTCTTAAAATACAAGTAAAAAAAATAAATAAATAAATAAAAACATTTTGAAGCGCAACTTTCATTTCAACCATGATGTTCTGAGTAATGAATACATAATTTAAATTGGGCAGACATTAAGAATATATCATCTAATCAATTTTATATGTTGAAACTTCATCCATTAGTCAACCCCAGTGGGAGATGTGTCGACAATCAGAAACTGTCTCCTGGATACTGCCCAATTAGCTGATAGCTGTAGAGCAACGCTGGATAAGAAAAATACCAGAGTCCTTTTGAAATTAACTGAAATCTTGATTAAAAAAAAAAAAAAAGAACATATCTACATATATTTACATAGCTACAATCCAAACTAATAACATCTTAAAAATTCATAAATAGCATGAATTTATTAATAAATAAATTGGGATTAAATACATTTTAATCATTTTTACCAGAGTCATCATCCATTGTTGAAACCACTGGACCAATCCACTTTGTCTGACAATCATCATGGGATAGGGTGGGCGACTGAGGAAACACTAATGCTCTGATCCATAAGAAACTAAAAAAACAACACAATTGTGAACTGCAGGGTTTGTTGCAGCACTGTAATGTAATTTGCCTATAAATCCAGGTTTTAATGTTAATGGTAACCCATTAGCTAAGGTTAGAATTTTATATAACTAGCTAAAAATAATATAAATATTTGTTTTGTAGCTCATGTTAGGAAATATGCAATGGTTTAACTGATCTCTATTTATTCTCTGGATATCCGACTGGCCATTGTTAGTTCACATTGCTATGAAGTCACCTGCTTTCATATTGGTACTCCCTAGATAGACCGTCAAAATGTAAATAATATGTGCGCTACAGCAACGACAATGATTTTCTCATTTTCAGGGGGGCTTAAGACTTTTAAAATAAATATAAATTCATCATTTTGACACACACTTGCTGTTTCACAGCATCTGTAGATTACTGTAGATTTATGGTAAAAAAAATAGGCACATCACATTGCATATTCAGTATGAAATCTTTAAATCATTTAATGCAACATTTTATATGAGTCCATCACAACAAAATTAGTGTGTTAATGGAAAATAATAATACTGTACTATACTAAGAATATTAAACACGCACACATACACACACCCCATCTAATGATGTGCCTAAAGTGCTAAAGTGTGGATGTACATATGAAAATTGCATATTGTTGCAGCCAAATGCTTGGCATGTTTATGGCGTGACTCTGTGGGAATAGGGATGGCGGCAAGTGACTTCAGGTTTTCGGCCTATCGGATATCCAATAAATAGAGATCAGTGAATGGTTTGCTTTAAAGTACCCTTTTGGCCCATGGCAGCATTTTATCTTGACCCTCATAACTTCCTTTATCATAGCGCATCATTTTTGCTAATGTATTTGTGAAGTAAAAGTAAATATTGTTATTTGCAATATATCGTGTTTTCCTCCCCCAGCAGAGAGGAAGCATATGCCAGAGAGTTGTAAGGAGTGAAAAAGCTGTTCATCTTTCCCATAATAACTGCACCAGCATCCTGTCCTACAAGCCTCGCTACTGCGGCTCTTGCACAAATGGCCGCTGTTGCACCCCCCACAGGACCAAGACTTCTCTAGTGGATTTCCAGTGTTCAGACGGTAAAACAATTCGCAAGCCAGTCATGGCGATCCTGACCTGTGTCTGCCACACCCATTGCCCCAGAGACAATGCTTCGTGGGAGCCATCACAGCTCCAACATGGTGGCGTGAGAGTATGAAGTGTCCAGATTGCAGTTCCAGACTCAAAACTATCTCAGACAAACCTTTTTATCCAAACTATGTGCTGCATGGAGTCCAGGTAATTAGTATAGAGTACAAAGATTTAGGATGCGCATAAAAAAATTAATTATTGCCAGGATATGAGAAAAAGCTTAAAGTCTTATGACTGCCGGACCAGTATGTTTCCCCTAGCCAACTTTAAAACAATTACATCTCTTACAAAATGTAGAATTTTTTTGCTGTTTTTATTTCTCTTTTAATGCACAGAACAACAGCGCAATAATCAGTTGAAAAGGGACAATTTTTATGACTGTAAAAAGTGACTAACAATAGCAAACTTAATTAATATACATTGCTTTTCCTGACATACCACTTTAAGCATTTTACCCTTATCCAGTGGCACTTACAAGGGGCCAAGTGCCCTACATAGGGGCATCTAAATACATGGCAGAAAAAAATTAGAATCAAACTTCCATCCTGATTACTTTTAAACCATCACCTTTTGGATGCATTTTAGAGAAATGCACCACATCAAATGATTAAGATAAAAAAATTCAGAAGAGAGATTGCTGGTGCCCTGGTGACTGGTGGTTTAACTGGGAGGGGCACTACAAATGAACATGTTGCTATCTCGGGCAGGTTCTGTCAAAAATGTGTCAAAACAGTGTCCTTTCTGGCAATGTGGCAATAAGAATAATTGTATTGATGCCAAAAAGATCCCAACAGATTTTACTTTCACAGGAGGAGCAGTGCGGCTATTGCCATAGTGTTCTGTTTGATTTATGCATATAAATAGCTTTATTATAATTCATCCAGGGAGTGTTACAGATCATATGGACACTGCAATGTAAGTGGAAAAGGAAAGGAAAAACTGAAAAATAAGGAGAAAAGATGAAAGCAAGAGGAGATTAAAGGGAGATAATGATAAAAGATTTTCAGTGTGCTTCATCACCTGCAAAGAGATGTAAAAAAAAAACAAAAAAAAAAACAGCACAACCAACGGACATGGTACAAGACATACAATAAAGTAACACCTAGATACTATCGCTGAAGTATAAGTAGTGAAAAATGTTTTTTTTTAAAAGGGGGGGGGGGTCTCTGCCCAATTTATATTGATATAATGTTTAATTTACTATAATTTAATATTTGTTTAACTCTCCAGGAGAGAGATGTAATTTTAAATGTAACTGTGTTACATCCTGTAGACAAATTAGTTGGTCTGAACTACATTATTACTGAGTTCTATAAAAGCGCTTTGACTCTGTTCTCTTAAGAGCCTTAGTGATTTCTCCAATACTTGCTCTAAAAATTGTGCTTTATAGCTGTTTGTAGATAGATGTTACCTGTATATAAAAAACGCGCCCTATAGTCCGGTGCGCCTTATGTGTGTGTTAAATACAGAAATGGGACACATAACTGAGAGTGCGCCTTTTAGTACGGTGCGCCTTATGGTCGTGAAAATACGGTAATTTAAAACAACCTCGGTTAAAGAGTTAAGGTAAAAAAAAAAAAAAAAAAAAAACAATTTTCAAAAAAGAAAACTTTAACAGTAAATGTTCTTCAGAGTAAAATAGCCACCAAAATACATTAGTTTTTATTTCTTATGCTTTTGTTCACATAGGTCAGACATTTGGAAAAACTGTGTACTTTGACATGATCCCAGTAAGGGTTCATCATATGGAAAAAGGACACTGTGGCGCCTTGTTTTTCACATCTCACTGTAATATTTGTTGATGTAAAATAGATTTCTTTTCATTTATGTGTTTTATCTTACTCAAAAAAATTCTTGATTTCATTAGATTTTTTATTCCCATTTGGTGTGGTTATTTGTTTTTACTAATTTGTACATACCATGTTTTCTTTGATGCATGTTTGACTGAGTGTATGAAATACACGGTGTTAAAAGTGTATGTTTTATGTGCTGTAACATTTTTTGTCTTAAATATAGTTGATTGCTCTTATTTTTGTGAAATTCTCCAAATTATTTAAACAAAATTAAATATCCAACGTTAGATATATAAGTGTTGGGAAATTCATTATTTATGCTTTCTAATAAAATTCTCAGACAAGCTGTCAATTCTGTTGAGACTGGCAAATAGGAACACAGGCACGCCCATGAAACATTTTTGAAATTGAGAAAATTCCTGAAAGAGAGGAAAGACTTAAGTTTTGAGAGAAAAGAGAAAAGCTTTTAGAGAGAAATCTATTTTTGAGAGAAAATGTTTTCACTCAAATTGCAAAAAAAATAAATAAAAAATTTGAGCTTTTTCTCCTTGGAAATCATTTTTCAAATTTAAATGTATCTTTATTTGTTACATGAAACAATACTTTCCTTTTCTTCAGTCTCAAATAACATATTTTTTGGCATTCAGTGTTTTTTTTCTTCTCTCCAAAACATCAATTTTACTTGTAAATTTATTTTCAAATATTTAGTTTTAATTTAATAAAAATACAAAAATAACTCCATATAGTACAGCCATAATCTTCCATACCCATAATGGAGTTAGGACATCAGCAGAAATCAATAGTTAGAATAGGAATGGCTGACAAATGTCCCCCTCTAGTGGTATAGTAGTATACACTGTAAAAAATTATGCATTTACCTTTAAATATGAGCAGGAAAACACCAACCTCAGCATGTGAATTCACTAATTAATTCTAGCACACATTCTCTTACGTGACTTAAATTATAAGCATTAATGTAAGCATAATAATTCATTTATTAATGAAAACATAACACATTAACCCAGAAACAGCTTAAACTACATAGACATAAGTATTTAGTATGTTAAAAACCTTTAAATCTAGTTACGAAATGTGCAAACACATTTTTCCCAACCCAAACAACTTTCAGTATACATTATAGTTGTACATACCACATGATTTACTTCAACTGAGTATACAGAAGGTTGCCTAATAGAAGATTCACATCTGTTTGAGTTTTAATTCAACCACAACAAGGGATAAACAAGGCTCCAATAGATAAATGGATCTATCCAATAAAAAAAAAAGCCTAAAAATGTTGATGCAGCTTGAACTCTTTTTAATCCCTGGATCCAGCCAAAAAACTTAGGCTGAGTGGGTGCTAGCAAGCGCATTTTTTCTCTTCTGTGATTGTTTGCTGGGCAGAGATAATGAGACTTTCTTTGCTTTTTTTTTAAGGTTGTGATGTCAGCTTTCACACGATGTTTCTTAAAATGATCTACAATCTCCTTGATTGTGATGTTAACACATAGTTTTAGTGTTTTGCTGAACCTTGTATTGCACAGAGGACACAGCAGCCCCCCCACTCCCCTCCGGTGCCTAGTCAGGCAGGCCTTGCAGAAGCTGTGTCCACATGGAGTAGAAACAGGCTCAGTGAAGACCTCCAGACAGATGGAGCAGCGTAACTGATCTTCAGTCAGGAAACCGCTGGAAGTGGCCATTCTAAGTGAATGATATAATATACCATCAGTTTATACACAAGATAAACTGCTTTACAACGTAAAGAACAGATAATGCATATTTAACAGGTTTGAAATAGCATTAGATATTTATAAAAACACATATGTCCTTGCGGCATCTTCAGTAAATCAGACCTTTTTTTAACTAAAAGTCAGAAAACCAAATATAAGGAGGACATAACAGTGTAATTTTGATGTAAATAGCTTATGTTCCCAAACCCATATGCAAAAATATATGATTTTTGCTTCTGTCTTGATTGCTGCTAGTGGAGGAACAAAAACACTGATGGGCAGCAGATTATTGCAATGAAACGATTTTCAAGGAGCAAAAAGAAATGAAGTCCAGTTATGAGAAAATACAGAGCATTGAATCATGATAAACAAAGCAAAATAAATGTGCAGCGAACTATGGCAACGAGAGAGGCTAAATACTAAGAAGCAAAATTATATAGCAACCAGGTACTGTAGGTCAAAGCATTGGAATGGTAAACAGCTGAGACAAAGCAGGGAGGAGAGGAAAGCTAACGTGTTAATAAAAGAAAGACTGTAGCTGAGTTAAAGCAAAGAAGAAACCTCAAACCAAGGGGGTAAAAAACATATTTTATGAGACAAAATCAAAAATGTACAGAGAAAGGAAGAAAGTTCATAACTAATAACCTCAACACAAGCAAAGAAAGCAATGTGGAAAACCAAAAATATTAAGACTAAAATTATCTAAACAACTTAAAAAAACAAACACTTCCTATCTGTTTTCTCTACATGCATGTTACCATAATGTTCTTTTTATTTTTAATCAGTGTATACACTCAAATTTAACAGAAAATAAACAATACAATTGAAAAGAAAAAGTGTTTTCTTTCAAGCTGAAGAAGTACAGTACTAAGTAAGGTATTTATATCACTGAGGCTTAGTGGTTGGGTTGAGATCATTGCATTAGCTTTTACTCACTCATCAAACCTGCCTTGCCACATAAATACATTTTGTAGAAGTATAAGATATAAATTATCATTAAGACAACAAAGTAAGTCACCGATATACAACTTATGCACATACAAAAATATTCCAAATTCAAAAGTTTCTAGTAGAATTTAGACAGCATATTTTCAGAATTTTCTTAACAGCGATGTTTACATTTCTAAAATAATTTGTCAGAACTAATATGATTTTGTACATGACTTTTACCTGCAGATCTGCTCAATAGTCAAACAAAATAGATGTTTGGTAGATTTCTTAAGAATCAGGTGCTCAGCAAACAAAAAGTATTTGCTGTAAAACGAATGAACAACCTGTTACACTCCACAAAAGGTTGTTAGTTATATGTAATATCCAACATTAGTTTGAATTGACACTTGATAAACAAACTCCCTTTAATAAAAGAAAACCTCACCTTCTTCTATGCCGAGTCGAGTTTTATGTCTCAGTGTGTAATTGACCTTTATGTTTTGCAATGTTTAGTTTCACTTCTCTGATCAGATGTGCTCCTCCTAGCTTCACTTGTTTGTAATGTGTCAAAAAGAAAGCAAGACCTAATTGTATAAAATACAATGAAGCATTAAAAAACTCAAATAGGAGCAGATGCTGACTATTGATAGGGGCAAAACAGAACAGATCTGATTGATCCTGATTGTATAACAGCTGCTTAGAATCTTTTTCTTTTGGCCATTTTTGATAACACATTTCAGTTTGTGTACAGGAAGGATACCTGGAGAAAAAAATACTAATTACAGTGCTGACTTGTTCAAATCTAAACAGTATTTGGCACCATAATAGACAGGCTACAATAACCCTCAGCTGTCTGCTTGATTTGTATGTGTGTGGTGGTCCTGTCTTGGCATTAGAGAGAGGACAATTTCTCTGATTAGTTATAAACCCTGTCCTGGTCCTCACAAGCTATTTTGCTAACAGTTAGGAATAAGGCTAAGATGCAAATTGGGTGTAGTTTAGGTTTAGGGTGATGTATGCTCTAGTAAAGGTTAGGGTTATTGTTAGGGTTAGGGCATAGAAACAATCTACATAGAATCTACATTTGCCAACGGTGTAGGTGATTTTTGGGTTTAACTCTAAACTGTCTGATCCTGCTGCAGTTTTTTATTTTCATCTTTTAAAATTTAAAAGGTTTCCCGAGCAAATGTCAAGAAACTGGCTGTTACTAGATGCACTTTTTAATTAACAGCTCATATTATATCTTTATAAGCCTTGGTTTATGTGAACCTATTTTCTAATGAATGTTTATTGAAACACTGAATCTGTTTCTGTTCCTGACCATCATCTTCTGTTAAACAGATGAGACAAGGTTTTAAGA